CGTCCGCACTAGCTACGTACCATCCGCACTAGCTACGTACCGCCCGCACTAGCTACGTACCGTCCGCACTAGCTACGTAGCGTCCGCACTAGCTAAGTACCGTCCGCACTAGCTACGTAGCGTCCGCACTAGCTACGTACCGTCCGCACTAGCTATGTGCCGCCCGCACTCGCTACGTACCGTCCGCACTCGCTACGTACCGCCCTCACTATCTACATAGCGCCCGCACTAATTACGTACAGCCTGAACGTAGATAGTGCGAGTAGTACTGTAAAAACATATTTTATTTCATTTTTGTTTTACAAAAAAAAATGGGGAAAATTTGCCACCCTAGGCTCCAACCTACTCAGCCTATGGGTAAATCCGCCACTGGATATATGAATCCGTTCTGGAGATACCTTCAAATAAACATGATCCATCCAGACATTCGCATTTATGATATTAGCATTCATAACATAACAAGGATTTTTTGCTTTGTTGGTTATGAAAACAAAATCGTTTAAAACTAAGTGAAGATTTGAATAACAATCCTATCTTAAAAGTCGAACTCTTGAAGAAAATACAAATCTATACTCAGAAATAACAATTTAACAAAAATTTGTATTTTACTAATGGAGACCAAGTTGTAATAACATTCTACAAAAATGTTACTCCGTTATAGTGTTTCAATTATGTCAAGTAGTTCAATTTCTTTAATAGCGCCATCTATGTTCTGTTTGTAAATCTATTTGAAAACTTTTATGTTTTTGAGAAAATATGTAAATAAAGAACTATAGCGTTATTACATTTTCTACATTTAATTTACGTAATTTATCAAATACTTTAGTTCATAAATTCTTATTTTATTTTCATACTTACTTAGTTTTTTTATCAATATAAGATTTTTTTTGTTAATAAATAATTCTGAAAAAATATATTACATTATGAGCATAATTAAAGAATACTAAATTTACTTAAATACTAAATTACAATTTCGAAACATATTTACAATCCTTTTAAAAGTTCTAGTAAAAAAAAGGAAAAAGTCATGTTTTTCGCTCCACGCCCTAGCGTAGAAATTTCTACAGAGTTCGCACAGTGTTTCTCTGTTCTTTTCTTTCTATCTCTTTCGCACATCGAACAGAACAATCGCATGGAGCATTCGAGATTATTCTAGTACAAAATAGTGTGACCATATTCTCACAAAAATTTCCCTATTTAAATGAAAACTAAAAAGAATATATTTAATAAAGGGGCATCAAAAGGTTAATTTAACGTTTATTTCATTCAAACACAAAGGTGTATAAAAAACTGGCTGTAAGCACAATTTATTTAGGTTTTGGCCGTGACTTTGCACTGAATTAAAAAAAAAGTAGGACGTATTTGATATAATGAGAAAAATTAACTAATAGTATTTATAAGAAAGCATGAAAAGTTAAATATCCTGTACCAGTAAAAAGAATAATAATTTAAAACCATAAACAAGACTTTCGATCTCCCGAATTAAAAGCAAAAATAATAATGTGGTATCACCAATTGCGTAATTGTGTTGCGCTTCATGTTGTCTCTTTCTCGCATTAGGTTATAGATTGTTCTCGTTGCTTTTACCAGAACGTTCTCGGAGCAACGCGATCCGATTGGTTGCGTTTTGGCCTTTAAAGATGTTTCTAGAATTTTATTGGTTCAATATAAAAGCGCGTCGGCCGGCGCGAGACGTCAGTCATATTTGAAACGCGATACAAAGAGAACGAAGAGAGGAGTTCGGTGTTTACCGGAGTTGTTTACAGTGTAAATATTATTGTGCGCATTTACAAGTATTAAATTAATAAATATAATAAAATGCCAGCAATTGGAATAGATTTGGGAACGACGTATTCGTGCGTTGGAGTGTGGCAGCATGGAAACGTGGAGATCATCGCCAACGACCAAGGCAACAGGACAACACCATCGTACGTAGCGTTCACCGACACGGAGCGGCTGATCGGCGATGCGGCGAAGAACCAGGTGGCCCTCAACCCCAACAACACAGTGTTCGACGCCAAACGGCTGATAGGACGCAAATTCGATGACCCCAAGATTCAGCAAGACATGAAACATTGGCCGTTCAAAGTTGTCAATGAAAGCGGAAAACCCAAAATCGAGGTGGAGTTCAAGGGTGAGAGGAAGAGGTTCGCGCCGGAGGAGATCAGCAGCATGGTGCTGACGAAGATGAAGGAGACCGCGGAGGCCTACCTCGGCGGCACGGTGCGGGAAGCTGTTATCACAGTGCCGGCTTACTTCAACGACTCGCAGCGACAGGCTACTAAGGACGCAGGCGCCATCGCCGGCCTGAATGTGTTGCGTATCATCAACGAACCCACAGCCGCCGCGCTGGCTTACGGCTTGGACAAGAACCTGAAGGGCGAGCGCAATGTGCTGATATTCGACCTCGGCGGTGGTACTTTCGACGTATCGATCCTGACCATTGACGAGGGATCCTTGTTCGAAGTGAAAGCGACGGCCGGCGACACACACCTGGGAGGCGAAGACTTTGACAACAGACTGGTGAACCACCTCGCGGATGAGTTCAAGCGCAAGTACAAGAAAGATTTGCGAATGAACCCGCGCGCACTGCGTCGCCTGCGTACAGCCGCCGAGCGCGCCAAGCGCACACTCTCCTCGAGCACCGAGGCCACCATCGAGATCGACGCGCTTTACGAAGGCATCGACTTCTACACGCGAGTCTCCCGAGCCCGCTTCGAGGAGCTCAACTCTGACCTGTTCCGCGGTACCCTGGAACCCGTCGAGAAGGCTCTTAAGGACGCCAAGATGGACAAGAGCCAGATCCACGATGTGGTGCTTGTGGGTGGATCCACTCGCATCCCGAAAGTGCAGAGTTTGCTGCAGAACTTCTTCTGCGGCAAGAAGCTAAACCTATCCATCAACCCAGACGAAGCCGTGGCGTACGGTGCCGCCGTGCAGGCCGCCATCCTCAGCGGTGAGCAGGACTCTAAAATACAGGACGTGTTGCTGGTGGACGTAGCGCCACTGTCGCTCGGCATCGAGACCGCCGGTGGAGTGATGACCAAGATCATCGAGCGCAACTCTAAGATCCCGTGCAAGCAGAGCCAGACCTTCACCACGTACTCGGATAACCAGCCAGCGGTTACTATCCAGGTGTACGAGGGCGAGCGCGCTATGACCAAGGATAACAACCTGCTGGGCACGTTTGACCTAACCGGCATCCCGCCGGCGCCGCGCGGCGTGCCGAAGATAGATGTCACCTTCGACCTGGACGCCAACGGCATCCTGAACGTGTCCGCTAAAGAGAACAGCACGGGCCGCAGCAAGAATATCGTAATCAAGAACGACAAGGGACGGCTGTCGCAAGCCGACATCGACCGTATGCTGTCTGAGGCGGAGCGCTACAGAGAAGAAGACGAAAAGCAGCGGCAGAGAGTTGCAGCCCGCAACCAGCTGGAGTCGTACGTCTTCAGCGTGAAGCAGGCGCTGGACGAGGCGGGAGACAAGTTGAGCGAGGATGACAAGAGCACGGCGCGGCGCGAATGCGACGACGCGCTGAAGTGGCTGGACAACAACACGCTGGCTGAGCGCGAGGAGTACGAGCACCGCCTGCAGCAGTTGCAGCGCCTCTGCTCCCCCATCATGACCAAGATGCATAGCGGCGCCGGCGGTGCACAGGGTGGTATGCCAGGTGGCATGCCGGGCGGTATGCCAGGTGGAATGCCGGGCGGTATGCCAGGTGGATATCCGGGTGGTATGCCTGGTGGATATCCGGGTGGCATGTACGGAAACCAGAACAGCGGACCCACCGTGGAAGAAGTGGACTAAAGCTAAGTCAACTGCTTGACATTCCAAAGAAATATTGTAAATACTTGAACATTCAAATGTTATAATTTTATAAGACTGATATTTATTTTAGTATTATAAGTTCATAAAATAGTGGATGATTATAGACGATTATGTTAATTAAATAAAAGATATTACAAATTATTCCCGGGTTTTATTTTTTTAAACAGCCGTAAGAACATCTCATTGGGGGCTGTCCAAGCATTCCCTCTTAAAAGTGCTTAAGATAACATTTAGATGAAAAATTAATATATGAAATTTTGTCTCGTCTAATAGGTGAGAGGCAATTTGTATTTTGTGCAATTTTGCTATAACAAATAGAACAGTCCTGGCGTACTAAATAAAAATAAGTCACCTTGTGAAAAAAATGCGTAGATAAACATTTTACTAGTATTATAAATTAAGCTTAGATGGATGTTAAGAGATCTTATGTTGAATGAATGTCAAAAACAGTTCACATGCACAAGGAATATTTATGACCCATGGAATTTAGCAATGAATATAAAAGTAAATTAAAGTTTATATTAATGTATACAACGCGTGTTTAATTTTTATGAAAATATATTTAGCTCCAGAAAACTATTTAAAGTTCAATTTGATGAAAAACCTATAAGAAAGCATGCACCGATTAAAACGGCTTTATGTCCGATTTCCATTTCAACAGGGAATGTAGCACTGATACTTTGGTTTTCTGATTTTGTACAATCTTCATTCTTCGTCATCAATCCTATTGTACTATTATTTGACAATATGTCAAATTTAGAGCAGCAACGATGACGTGGTTTGACTTGTAGAAATACTTCACCTGTATGATTCTTCACACGAAAAGCATTTAAGCAAGTTAACAACTTCTCCACGGACCCAACGAAGTTTCCAGGTGGCGCGAAAACAAGAACTCTGTTCACACAAAAACCGCCATGTTTTTTCACTTGAATCACTTCGTTACCATATTTATTGAATATTTTTATAATATACTTTCTTTCGGGTGTTTCTTGAACAGCTAAAAATATTTTTTGGTTTTGATTGTTATAGATAGTGTAACAATTACCATTTAGGCCAATAACTTCGTGTAATGTGTCCAATTTATTCGTTATTATTATTTTGTCCAAGGCGTAAATGTACGTCAAGCCTGGATATTCTCTTTCTTCTAGCGGACAAGGCATCCATTGTTCTTTCACATTTTCATTGTCTCTCATTTAAATGTTTAAATGTTTTATTTTCGTATTATTATTAGGCATTTTCCTTAGATTTTTGTTGTTTATCTTGCATATTTAAATTTGCTTTAATTTTTGACATGTTTAATCAAATTCTTCTGCCATAAAAGCAATCATGGAAATGACGTAATGAATGATCATTCAGTATTTAGAAACTGTAAGTTAATAGCCGTCAAATATGTGTTATAATTTCTTTTCATTGTTTAAAATATATGTGTACATATGTGTAATGTTGTTTAAAAAGAACATTTGATTTCTTTTTACCACGTTGTATTTAAACAAAGAAAAAAAAGATTAATTACCGCCATCTATTGACAAGGTTATACAATAAATAAATCAAGATTAAGAAATTCTTGTATTTTTACTTTTCCCTACTAGATGGCGTGGATTTAAATTCGTTCCAAAAAGATGTTCGTTGCCATCGCTTTAACTGTAACTAGTGATATTCATAAAATACAGATGGCGTTACTTAGTAGAAATGTTGGTGAAAGTCAAATTATTATTTGTAGTTGAAATAATACATTAAGGGGAATTTTTGGCAGCGAATTAGAAATTTAAAAATGAAAACATAGTTCATAAAGCTTAGCTAGCTTGTTAAACATACATACATACTTAATATTTGATGTATACGTGATAAATTTTTGGGTTTACAGTCGAATGTCAAACTTGGATAAGCGAGAAATCTCTATAAGCGAGAGTCCAGTTCCGCTGACGATTCCATAAGTGAGAAATTCGAGTACAATACCTTTGTGAACAAAAAACACCGCGCTAGATTAAACTGTACAACTGTATGTTGTTCATTGTAAAAAAAAATGATAGTCAATTTAATCTTTTAATTTTACTATTTAATTTAGACAATCCTACATTAATTTTCTATTTATAAATAAAACATAATAAGGAAAAATTTAAAATAGTGTTCCCTTTCACTATAATATTAATTTACGTAATAAAATAAATGAAAATTCCAAAGCATGGATATAATAAGACGAGAAAAAGTAGTCATAATACACTAGCAAAATCTCCCTTCATTCTTGATTAAGGAAAATGTTTAATTGAGTTTCCCCCCCCCCCACTCTTTATATTTCATATATGTAGATACACACACAGACAAACACTTCGTCTATGAATAGTTGTTACGATATATAGTAATAAAGAATAAATGATGGAAGTAACATATAGGAAAATATTATACAACTGTAGTTATAGATGTGAGTATACAGCGTGATGGCACAACAGTGCTGTGGAGACGAACTATATCTAAAGGAATTATCTATCTAGACTTTAAAAACTATGTAACTGCACTTTTAGATAATATTAGTTAGAATCCTTTGGCCCGAATGGCGCGCTTTCGTTACAAAGTCAAGTGTCTGATTAGTGAAGGGACATAAACTTTGATATTTTAGTAAGTGTGTTGAGTACACTGGCACATTTTCGGATTTTTTTCCTAATACTATCTTGAGTCTAGATTCTAGACTTTATTATTTTTTAAACGAGGAACATCGACGCCCATGGACGCGCAATACCAGAGGCATCGCAGATGGGTTGCCAGCCTTTGAGATGGTGATACGCTCTCTTCTTGAAGGACCCTAAGTCGTAACTGTTTGGAAAAACTGCCGAGCACAATCCATTCTTCTACGCGGCTGTGCGGCTTCTGGAGGCTGAAAATTTAAATCTAGAAATTAAAAAATGTAATTGTATGTAGTAATATAGTTATAAGACATGTTACTAACAAGATATTTTTGTAAAGTTTAAATAAATGAGAGGAGTGATGTAATAGGAAGTTTTTTATGTTTTCATTCTAGCCAGTTTAAATATCAAGGTTAACCCTTAATTCGACGAAATTTTTTATAGCAAAAAAAACTGTTTTTTTTTTAGTAAACGTTTTTTTTTAGTTTACGTAATTTTCTCTAAAATAGTTCAGTAGATTTTTTTAATTAGTTGTTCGTCACACTGGATACTATCGAAAGGGTTAAATCATTAATAATTTTGCAACATACTTAACAGTGTATTATTTTAATTAAAAAAATCTAACAAATAAATTTGGCGATCTCTTGTGTCGGAGGCCAAGACCCACTTTGGGTCGATGCGCCAGCGGAGTAAGTAAGTAGTAACAAATAAATATATCGTATGTCAGTCGGGGAAATTAGATTTAAAGTTAGAAAAGATTTTTTTATGTCTCTTTCTCTAAAACTCTTTTACAAACATATCAATTGACAAGTACCTACAAAAATAAACTTAAACACAACTCCATTCCACTGCTATCCAAGACACACATACGAAGCGCGAGGCGTTCCGTCTTAAGGACGACATATGAAGTAATTTTTTTTCGATGCCCCGACCATTACATAACGTACTCTATAACAATGGTATAAAGTTCAAAATATAATTAACCGCGAAATATTTTTTCCATTTCATATTTACGAATATGCCCCAAATTCCCCAAAAATTAGAACCGTGAAAGCGGGGGGGATGTCTCTGTGTGTGTGTACATCAGTATACACGCATACATACGTATTTAAGGGGGATGTTCGGGTGGAGGGGTACCAAAGATAGTTTTGTAAGTACGTAGCATCATTCAAAGCAGTACGGAAATCCGTTAGCACGTGCGTCTTCTATTGTTTTTTTAAACTAACCAAGACAGTAATGGACAACTGTGGGTTTCTGAAAGCAAACTCGTGCTAACCTTACTAATATTATATGCCAGTTGGATGGATGTATGGATCTCGCTATAATTTGGCATTTATATAGAATAGTAATGTAGTTTCATATCTTACTAATATTATAAATGATAATGTTCAGATGGATGGATGTTTGTTAGAAGGTATCTCCTGAACGTCTGAACAGATTTCGCTAAAACTTGGCTTAGATGTAAAACATAATCTGGAAGAACACATATACTACTATTCTTTTAATTCCACGCAGACGGAATCGCGGGCAAGAGCTAGTGAAATTACAAAATACAATTAACAAACCAAGAAAGGAATAGTATACGTAGAGATTGTGTAAGACTGAATACGTAGAAAGAATTTAATATGTTCTCGTTTGAAATATTTTCGCTTTCACATCACAAATAGACTCAAATATTATTTTATTTATGTTTCCGAGTAACGTATCGTATATATGTAAATAATTTCCTTTTTCACAATTATTACAAGCTTTTGCCTGAAACTCTGTTAGCGCGGAATTAAAAAAAAAACTTATTTAGACTATGTGTTCTTCCAGACTATATGTTCTACATTTATCACAAACATCCATTCATCCATCTATCCACCAGTCTAAACTTTCTCATTTATAATATTAGCAAGTTAACTGTCAGTAACCTTCCCGCGGAATTAAAAAATCTAGTCGTAAATATAGGTAGTTACCCGGTGATATTGTACCTTCTAAACAGTGAAAAAACTTCAAATCGGTTCAATAGTTTGAAAGCATATTCAATGTAAACAAACAAACAATCAAATTGTTCCTCTTTATAATTTTACTACAGATAATGTAAAGAATAAATATTTTTTTATTCATAAAAGTAGAATAGTATTTGGCAGAATTAACATTCTGCCATACGTGGCATAATGGACAGAACCTTTGCCTTTTTAGTTATTAAAAGTTAGATGTAAAGAGAAAAGAAAAGCGCGGGAAGAGTGACAAGATGTAGTCGTGATTAGAGTTCGATAAAATAATATTATAAAATTTATATTTAGTTTTATTATAAACTAGCTGTCGCCTGCGACTCCGTCCGCGTGGATATAGAAATAAATATATTAGTGTAGCCTATGTTTTCTTTCAGACTATGTTCTATACGTATGCCAAATTTAATCGAGATCCGTTGAGCCGTTCTAGAGATATCCTCAAACACCCATCCATCCATCCACATCACATCCATCTAAACATTCGCATTTATCATATTAGTAAGTTAAATAAAAACCAGCCCTTCAAGGCATAAATTCTAAAAATAAAAAAATGAATAAATAGTATCCCATGTCCGTCTCCTGGCTGTAAGCTACCTCCTCACCAATTTTCAGTCATATCGGTAAAGCCGTTCATGAGTTATAAATAGTGTAACTAACACGACTTTCTTTTATATATTAAAGCTGTTTATAAAACATTATAAACGCACTTTGGCTGCATAGCTGCTGTTTTCAATTT